AAAATTTTTACTCGAAATTTAATTAAACAATTTATCTGTCCTTATATTCGATTGTTTTTTTATTTGAAATTCTTGGGTTTATACATTATTATCATTGGATATAAGTATCTGTTACTTATTAAATGATTCATTTTAAGATACATTAACATTTTTTAGTGAATGAATATAATTTTATATTGTTAAAAATTGAAACATTTCATTCATTTCCCTTTTTATCTTTCATTTCTCTCTTGTGAAAAATTACCAAATTTTATTTATATATTTTCTCTAACATTCATGCAAACTAAGAAAAGTTCAGAAGAAGTCAAGAAATGGTGTGCCAAAATAATTGTTGATTTTTTTTTTTATTGGCAAAAGAATTTATTATATGAAAATAACAAGAGAAATAATACTTCAAACCATTACAAAAACTCTCTCGTTTACAAACTCATGGCAATGCAAAAGGAAAAAACAATAAACTGACAAACGCAATAACAAAAAAATTAATTAAGCCATCTGAGAAGCAAACAAAAAACCACCCTCCTTGAATGAAATAATCAAAGATGAAGGAAAGAAAACTGATCATATGAATACATGCAGCAGAAAACTCCCAACAACCACACCACAATTTTTGAGGAAGTTGGCACCAGTCCTAAAAATATTTAGTATTCACTAGCCCTGGTGAAACAAAGGGGTTTTGTTTGAGGTTAAAGTCAAATGCAAAATTTTGTAGTTTTCTATGGAATATAAATTATATAGGGACAAAAATAATTGATTTTAAATTTTTTGATTCCAACTTATATCATATTACAGATGTTGCTGCTACTTTCCCTCATTCATTAAACACTAAACTTTAGTTGAGAATGCTTCAAACCAAACTTTAGCTAAGAATACTTCAAACACTTTTCAAATATGCAATTAGACTTTTCAGGTTGAGTACTTGACTAACATTTTCGGATTTTCCTAGGTTTTCCATACTCACATAATAGCAGTGCCAAAGCTCATTTTGCTCTACAGAAGAAACAGACAACTTACATTGTATTTCTTTCTCTTCAAATTGCAACAGTTGAAAGATCATCAATCTCTTATGTCGGAGAGCATACGCAGTTGTCTCTCTTATGTCAAGAAGAAAATACGTGGATGGGCTTCCCATTACCTCCACTTCTCCTTTCCCACTTTACTCATTCCAGGTGCTTTATTAATTTTTCAATAGGAAGTGTATTTGAATCCATTCCTCAAAAAATAGAGAACCTGTACTTCAACAATTGAGTTATAAGTTCATATGCATGTTGTTAATGTTTCTTAACTTAACCTAATATTCCACCCATGACAGGTTTACTTCTTGGCCATTTTGTGGCAGAAAAGGGATTTATAGGTTACCTGATTCTGTTACTGCGAGAACGAATGGCTGGTAACCTTAGAAAAGCATCAATTGTTTCAAATGTCCAAGCAGGATTATCAAATTTATTGAGCACGTTCTTGGTATACTTAGGATATAATCAAATCCGTCTCTTCAAAATGATTCTCTACACTTACTCAACTTTCATAGCTGTAAGTTCATTTCTATTGGTGGTATATATCTTTTCATTTTTTATGAGATTATGTTGTGCAATTGGAAGAATCAATAGCAATTATCATTTGTCCCATTCTTCTTGCAGGGTATTCTGCTACTGTGGGTTAGTCGAAGTCCATCCAACAGTATTCTCTTTTTTCAATTCGCGCTAGGACTAATAACAATGGGCCAAGCAGGAGAAGATTGTGTGCGTTATCTTCTCCGGGATCGGCTTGCATCAGAAGAAGAATCACAAAACCTAGATGTGAAAGAAATTCAGAATCGTACAAATGTTAAGTTATTCATTGCTAGATATCCTGCCATCGTAGGTGCAGCATATATGTCCATGCATTCTTGGGATCAAACCTTCAAGATTTCAACTACGGTGATGGTAGTGGGTTATAATCTGTTCTTCTGGTTTGGCACCAAATTTTACAAGAATGAAGAAGACATTGGAAATACATTGAATTCAGAGTTAAAGCAAGCAGGAAATGTTCTTCTAAGATTATTCCCTTTATGGTTAATATTCATATTTACCTGCTTTTTGGTCGGTCCAACAGGCGATACTTTGTTCATTACGCAAGTTGATTATGTAGACAACAATTCTAAACAAAGCTTCAGGCTTCCGGAAAGCTCTTTCTATGTGGGTGCAAAATGCATAGCCTTTGCAACCTCCCAGTGTTGTGGTCTTCTAATAAAAAAGTTTTGCAAAGATGAAAACCAACAGAAGTGTGCTAG